ATCTATAAAATGAGGGCCCACTGGGTGGCCATCAGGGGTCCTTGTACGGGCTGGTGAGGTCGCTCTGATCCTGCAGATGTCCAAAACCTATGGCCGCTCCTCAGCAGGCCTGGGTAGTGCTGCTCCTTGGACAGAACAAACAACTCCATTTGCTCATGAGGAGAGTGACTGCTCTGCCTTCAAACTGTCTTCAAACATACCCCAGGCTTCCCTGTGAGTCCCAGAACTACCAGTTGCCTGGAGCCAGGCGAGGCCAGGAACAGCAAGAGGGGGGCTCTGGTCGAGGAAGGGTGAATGTGAGGGAGACCGAAGCCTGACACCGAATGGGTCTTACATGGAAGCCCCTCTGCCCCTGCAATGGCAACAGCACCTTGGAACTGGGCGAAACAAAGGAGCACCTGGACGGAGCATGGGGCAGTGTGTTCGTGAGAATCTGGGACCAGATTCCTGCCTTCTGTTTGCAAAATTCTGAACTAAAAGATGTCCTGGTGCATTTACTGTGAGCATCAGTGTCTGTGACTAAGTTCCCTTTGGGGTGGAGGTGGTGAACGGGGAGGAACGCGGCACGAGGCCCAGCAACCTGCCTGTCTCCACCTCAGGCAGCCGCTCGCTGGCTGTCCTCCCACCCCCTTCAAGTGGCCCCAGGATAGGACAGTGTCCTCATCACTACACGACACAGGAAACCCCAGCCCCTATCATGCAGGAACTTAGAAATCCTAGCTAACATTCACTCCTTGTTCAAATTTTCAGCACAGTTTGATCCTAAATATAAGTTGCTTTGTTTTGCTCTCCTAGGGCTCAAAATGGCGGTGGGATATATAGGTTCTCTTACTAAATTCCCTTTCCTTTTTATTCCCCAGGAGGTCAAAGAGAAGAGGGGAGACAGCGGGGGATGAGGAGGTGAGGAGGGGGCATAGTGAAGGGGTGGAGCGGGGGTGGCAGGGGAGGGTGAGGCGCAGCCTGTGCGAGAGCCCTGAGGTTGCTGTGGAGAGAAACATCCACATGTGGTTCCACTTATTTACACATTCATTGCTTGATTCTTGTATGTGCCTTGATTGGGGATCAAACCCACCTCCTTGATGCATCAGGGTGACACTCTAATCAATGAGCTACCCAGCCAGGGTCTCCGCCTCAGCCTTCTCAACACTGACCCTGAGGACGCAGCCCCACCTGGCCGTCACAGAGAGTGAGGACAATGGGGACCCTGGGCCGCAGTGCCTATGAGTGAATGTGTAAGCGGCTGTGAGCCCAGGCGATCACATTGCAGACAGTCTCAACTTCAAATAGTCTCCTTGGAACACCCCCCAACTCCTGTGGTTGACAGGGGCCCTGTCTCCCCACGCCAACATTCTTCCTCCATAACGATCGCTGTTCATTATCAGTCCTGCTCCTCTGGAAGCCTCCAGGGAGAGGCCTCCTGGGGAGTCACGTGGCCATCACAGACCTGGTACTGAGGTTAAAGGCACAGGTTGCTCAGTCAGAAGGTTCAGATTAAAAATCCAGCCCATCTCCTACCAGCAGTCTGATCTCAGGCAGATTAGTCCGCCACTCTGTAGCTCAGTTTCCTTCAAATGGAGATGGGGACAGCACCTGCCTGGGAAGGGCGTTGTGAGGACTGAGTCACCACACAAGCACACGGGACAGTGCGTGGCTCAGCGTGGGCCACGTGGAGCACTGGCAATGGTCGGTTCACCCACTGCCATGGTGGGTTCATAGCATCTCAGTTTCAGACCTCTCAGCATCTCTGAAGCGGGGGTTAACGCGGGGAGGAGAAGCCGAAATTGGCCTGTGGAAAGGCGGAGGGCGCACGTTTGGATGACGTGGGTCTCTCCTCATACACCATTCAGTGGGGCGTGTGAACACCTCATTTTGCAGATGACAAGGCACAGGCCTGGCACACTGGACGGGCCTGACCGGTTGTCGCAGAATGAGTGACAGGAGGGGCGGGGTCTGCAGGACAGAAGGCAGCTCCGCATTCCCCGCGGTTGGTTTCGTTTGAGCCTTTGAGCCAAGGGAGCCTTTCTACTCCATGTTGAGTCTGACGACTTAGTTATTTCAGTATTTACTTAATTTGGTTTTTGAGATGATGTGGATATTTAGGGAAGGCAGTTTCAATGGGCGGCATCAACAGTTGAGCAGTTATTGAGATGCTTTTGCATGAATTCATGTGCTAGATGGATTTGGGTAGACTATGGGTGCAGTAAAAAATCCGCAGCCAATGTTTGTTTTTTTCTCCTCTTGGGGGGCAGGGGTGGTGAGGGGAGTCCTGACGAAAGCATAGAATGTGGCTGTAAGCGCATCACAGGATCAATCATCGAAGCAGGGAGCCTGTTCTTTATGGGTACCACATGTTCCGGAAGGTCCCCAAGTCAGGCGGCAGCGTCAGGGTGGAATTGCGGGAGCCCCTGCTGGGTGTCCACAGGAGTGGTGGAAGCTGAATGGACTTCCTCTTCCAGACACCTCAGTTGCGCTATTTTTTGTCTGTCATTTTGAGTTCCATAGCTATTCAGTTTGTAGCTGTTGGCATGCAAAGGAAATTCAGAGGTTACAAAATAACTTCTTTCACGTTGATCTTGATAGAACCATAGCAGAAGAAAGGAAACTTGTAGCAGCCAGTGGATCCTTTTAAATGGTAAATCAGATCACGTTCATGCTCAGCCCAAGATGCTGTGATGGGCCCCAGGTTCTTCCAAAGGCTCTGAGGCCCTGAGTGGCCCAGCCTCTGTCCCTTCCCTGAGCACCCTTCCCCCTTGTTCTGTGGGCTGCAATCACAATGCCCTTCCTGCAGACCCCGGGCCACTGGGAGGGACTCATCCTTCCCTTTAGCACAGGGCTAATCCTCTCACCTCCTGCCACTCGTGGCTCAGATCTCATCTTCCCTGGTCCTGCAGTCTGCCCTGCCCTGCAGCCCCGCAGCCCTGGCTCCATGTTTTCTTTGCTCTTTTTCTCCTAAGGACTGACCAAATGACACCTTTTCTTTTCTCCATACCATCGATCAATTTCTAACTGACAGTGTTATTTGCAGCATTGTCGAGTGCATCATCTTCTTTCCAATGGATGTGAGTTCCAGGGAGGCAGAAGCCCTGCTTTGTTCTCAGGTGAATCCGAGTGCCTGGCCCTCAGAAAGGCCCAGCAAGGATTTGTTGAACAGGCGAGAAGTCAGCCCAAGGGAGACTGTCGTCTGAGAAGTAAATGGCCTCCCTCGGAGGGCCTCTTTTTCTCTTTCTACAGTAGAGCTTGCACCTTTCTGGTGCTGCCAGAACAGCTCCCTCCTTAGACCCAAGTGTGCTTTTGGGCCTTTCCCTTGGACTTGGGACAGGGCTCAAGCGCAAAACCCTGGGTCACTGCTGTCATCACAGCTCCTGGGCATGGCTCTGTGAGCTGAGATCTCACCCTGCCTGCTCAAGAAAAAGGGCGGGGAGCCCTGACTTCTCAGCTGTCGGAGCGGGACACTCACAAGTGTGTGGCACAGCCACCCCAGCTCAGTGGGAGCACCGACACCAGCGGGCTCTGTGGTGTCTCTGAAACGTGAGGCCTGAGTGGGGTGCATCGTGCAGCGCAGCCAGATGGAGAGCGAGCTGGCTGTGGAAGCCGCCCAGGTCTCCGCCTCTCCCGCAGTCGTTAGCACCTCCACCACAGGTGGGTGGGGTGGGACTCCAGTCTCCCTGCCTCTGCTCATCTGGTGAAAGAGTCAGTGAAACTCAGAGGTGAAACCCAGGGCAGAAAAGTATTTTTGGATTCATCCCTCCTATCTCTAACTTCATATCTGAAAAGAAATGAGATGGCTATAAAATAGGACTCACGAAGGAAGATAAAAGGGATGATGTGTTTAAGAGGAAAGAGTTTCTTGTCTTGCTCACTGGTTCTTGGTGTGTCCATGATCTCATCTTCAACAAGCTAAGGTTTTTTTTTTTTAATAGCACATAATTACTTAATCATTCCAGCTCTGCCGTTTGCTTTCAGCTCTAAGTGCCAGATAAACAAGGTGTTTATTAAGGAGATAGTCTAAATTCAAGGAAAAACCAAAACAATTTGGGAACTCCTTAATACTATCTTGCAATTAAAGCAACATGAAAGGAGGAAAAAGCTGTTGAAATGCTAGAAAACGGTTTCCTTCCCAAGGTCTGGTGGATTAGAGCTCGAAGTTAAAAATTTAAATTTCACCCTGAGACTTGGTCTCTGCATCCTCCATCAATGCGGTTCCCAGGCCAGCATTTCTCCACCAGCACGCGGGCTGCTGGCGAACCCTGGCATACCTTGCACCCTCAGCAGTGCTTCTGACCCTGTGATGAGGTGGGAACTCTTCCTGCTGTGGCCAAGGATGTGGAGGACTGCGGGGGGAGTGGGGGAGAGCATGCGCTTCCGGCAGGAGTGAGACCGCTGAGGTCAGGGCGCCCACAGCGTGGGGGTCGGCCAGAATGGGGATCCAGCAAGAGCAAAATAAAACTTAGTGTGGGGAGAGTCAAGAAGCCCAGTGGCGTGTCAGCGGGCTCTGATAAGGCAGGTCTGTGGGGATGTGGAGAACTCTGTTGCACAGGAATGTACAAGGGGGCTCAGCGAAGGTGACAACTCGGCAGCGACGGCCAAGCCGCCAGGGCCGTGTCGGTGAAGACAATCCGGCCCTCTCCCAGGGGCCACAGACCTGTGTAAAACCCAAAGACAACGAGACCGAGCTCCACCCTGCTCACACTTTCTGGGTAGGAACTGTTACCACAGGAAGAGCATTGCAAGGGGAAATCGAGTTAAAACACTGCAATGAGTCTTAAAGCTCAGATGTGATTCTAAGACTGCAGCTAAAAAGTCACTGGATAGAAAAGAAAATTATAAACATGAAACAACAAGCCAAAAAGACACTTAGACATGAAACAAAAATCAGAAAACAAAAGACAAAAAAAAAAGAAAAGAAAAGAAATAGGCCTATGGATTTAAGACAAAACAAACAAACAAAAAGAATGAACAAACCAACCAAAAAACCTCAGTTCAATCCATGCAGTACATACCTTGTAGGGAGGCCTTTAAGTCTTTCATATTTTGGTCTAAAAGCTGCGAAGGAAGGAATCCTGAGCCTGTCTGGGGCTTGGAGTCTGGCTCTCCTGGGGCCACCGCAGGTGCTGGCTCCTTCAGCCGACTGTCTCCAAACACAGCGGCCCACTCCTTGCTGAACTCGCCCTCTTCCAGGGAGGAGGCGTTGAAGATCTCATTCAGCAGCAGCAGGTCATCTTTGTCAGCACCTTCCAGTTCCGTGGTCTCTGCCATCGGGCCCAGGCAAGCTGATCGCAGTGAGAGAGCACAGAACCCATCACCACCAGGGGCCTGAGCCCTCGGGACTTAGCCTGCCCTGCCACCCAGGATGGCAGAGGACCCCCCACGCCCTGACTGGCCCAGGGAGAACAGGGCAGCGGAGGATGTCAGGAAGTCCAATGATGACCAACAGAGGCACCCTAGCAGTGAAGAAAGGCACCCCCTTTTCTGCACTGCTATGATTTTCTGCACATAGCAGTGGTTTGCCTGAGGGCGTGAGTGGAAGGCTGACAGGAAAACAGGGCAAATCATGGAACCACCTAGAAGGTGAGCTCCACAGCCCTGGAAGGTGGGAATGCACATGAGACCAGAGCAAGAGCCCCTGGACCACCTTTTACCTGCTGTGTGACCGCAGCAAGGCCTTTATATTCTCTCTGAGCCTCTGTTTTTCATCTATAAAATAATATTCCTAATGCTTGCCTCAAGCATTCTTAGGGGGTTGTCGGGAAGCTCAAAATGAAACAACTTCACTGCCAGTCCAGCAGGAGGACTTTAAGGAAGAGGGCCATTCTTACAGTGTGAACATGGACAAACTACGAGTGAATTCGAGTCCAATGGGGGCATCACCACCAGAAAATCCTGGAGCCAGACCTTACGTTGGGTTTTCTACATACTTTGAAAACCAAAGGCTGATGGTTTTATCAACTGTGGCTTTGTTGTGGTGGCTAACTGCCACCAGGCAACTGCCAGTGTTTTTGTTCTCAGCCATGAAGAGAAAGAACAATGCCAATTTATATTTTCTCAGAGCTACATGGCAATTCTGAAACTGTCCTAGTACGTGAGTTTAACAGGTTTTCCTCAAATATATTAGATAATTACCCAGGAAAGGCTTTTTTGAAAAAAAAAAAAATGTTTATCTCTGTCAGCTTAACTGGATCTACTTTTAACCACAGTTTCTATAAAGATCTACAGATTGTGGGGATTTTTGATGTGCTGAGCAGACTGGCCTATAAATCAGGGAGGGGAGGAGGCCAGTCACTCTCGTATTACTGTGGTTTAGAAACACTGGCACAGTATCCCTGTAGTCGGACGACTGTCTAATTTGAGCATTCTTACTGTTTGTGTTGTCACAGAACTTGGCCCCAGATGGAGCCTGTAGGGGCGGCGGTGAGGAGATGTGGGCACGCGCCCTCCCTCTCGCCCCCTCCTGGGCATTGCCCTTTTTACACCCAACTTCACTGAGGTCTGTACTTCCTACTTTCAGCTGGGACTGAAATGTCCAAACCTTTCCCCGTGGTTTACTTTTCTGGCCTGACAGAAACCAGATGATTGCTGAGCCAGACCCAGTTTAAATGGAACCCATTCAGATCAGTGTGTAGACCCCAGAGGAACAGATAGCTTTAAACAGCATTGGAAGTTATGGGTGTTCTTCCTGAAGTCACTGCACGGCCCTCTGCTAAGTCAGACCTGGTGGGGGAGGGCCGTGCCCGCCTTCCTCCAGATGTCAATCCGGGGAAGATCACGACCAACACCAGCAACAACAAAACAGATAATACACCCTGAGCCTCCCGGAAACCACTGCAGACTGGAGAAGCCTCAGCTCTGTTTCCCTGTTCGGGCTTGGTGCCACGGCCGGTGTTCCGAGTGGACTCTGCTGGGAGTCTGGCCAACTTAGCATCCCTCTCTTCCTCTTCTTGTTTTCCCTTTGGGAGAACACCTTCTCCTACGATCCTACTGGGATACCACTCAGAGCCTCATCTCGCCTCATCCTGGGACGATGTGTGACCCAGGCCGAGCCACGGTGACTGCCACAGGGGTGGGCACAGGCCAGAGGCTTCCCTGAGTCTGGTGTATGGGAGCCGGAGGGGAGAGGTGCTCTCTTTCTCTGGGATTCCAGGTTGTAAAGATGCAGCCTTTGACGGCCCCAGTGACGAGGGAGCCAGCACAGAAGGAAACAGCACCAAAGCTGGGAGAGAGACTCCTGAGAGCACTAAGCCCCTGGATCCAGCCTTGCTTAAAGCCAATCTGCCACTGCCACATGGACTAATACCCAATACAGTCATTGCTTTTCTTTGTAATTTTAAAGCTAAACTATTTAGAGAAGGGTCCCATGACTTTCGACCAAAAGCTTTCCGACGAACACACACTTAGTGACAAAAATGAGAAAAGGACCCGTGGTGAGGATGACATTGTCTAGAGCTGGCTCCGAATGAAGTCTGAGGTCTACCCTTGAATTTGGCCTATTGCTCCGTGTCCTGGTTTTTAACAGTGAAAGCAGACTGCCCAGTGGACAATTGCTATTTTAAGAGAACTTATTACTTAGCTAAGAGCAATGAAACTGGCACTGAGTTGAACCAGAAAACAGGGAAACCTCCCAAGTATTGCCCTGATAATTAAGATGCTTCAGATTACTCTACATAACTTGTAAGAAAAGCTTAATTACGAGCAGAAAAAGACAGGTTCAGGTCTGTCACCAGACATGTTGAGACTTGTAACAGCAGTCAGTTGGCTCTTAAGAATCACGGTATCCTTTTCGTTGGAAGTAATTCAACTCGGCTGTGAGAAAACGGGGACACACACGGAGATATGATAAGCTTTCTGAGAGAAGCCCCAGTGGGAGCTGCACAACTGAAGTCACAGCTGCTGCCCCGGAGACGAGAAATGCCTGCTCCTGGGGTGTGGCATCCTGTCCTGCTCTCGCCTTAAAGGATGAACCAAGGCCATAGAGTCTGCGGGCGTCAAACCCACAGATCCCGTTCCAAGACCCCTTTGGGCTCTTGAAAGCTCTCAAGTCTCCATGTTTACTTTTAGGTCAGGTGACCCAACTATAGACATTACATAAAAGTGAAGGCCAACGGATGGCACCCTCCAATTCTCACCTCTCGGCCTCTAACCCTACGACCCTCTGCACATCCCCTCTACTGTCCAAGATGACCCCTCTCTGTACCCGCCTCCGAAAAAGCAGGCTTTAGGCGGGTACAGAGAGGGGTCATCTTGGACAGTTCTGCCCTTTGGTGCTCTGCACATCACTCAGTTCCAGAGTCTATAGTCTTTCTTTCTTGAACGCTGCCTCTCCGGGCTCCGGGAGACGTGCGCACAGCCGGGTGGCAGTGGATCCACACTGGATGTTGCTGTCTCCCCCGACCCCACTCCACACTACTGCTCTGGTTTCCTTTTCCTTCTCTGCAGTTGCGCTCCATTTGCCACCACTCTTTTTCCGCCTGCCTGTAATCAAGTTCCTGTTGCCATCAGACACTGAAGTGGCCTCTTGAAGGTCACCTGTGAGCTCCTCCCGGCCAATCCCAACCTCCTTTCCTCAGGCCTCCTCCGCCTCTGCGGCACTTTGCCCTGCTGCCCACTCTGGAAACGCTGCCATCTCCTGGAGTCCTCCGGAAGGGCCATCTCAGCCGTCCTCCAGCTTCCCGACAATACTCCCCCCCCTGCGTCTTCCTGCTCAGGGCGCCATTACCGTTCCTCCTGAGCCATCCTATCTTCTGTACCCAGTTCTCTATAGTGGCTCTTATTTATTATCACGGTTCCATTTGCAACCAGGAAGATCCTCAAATCTCCATCCACGGTTCCAAGTTCTTAAAAACTCCGATGACAGATTCCTGACACGGTGACCCTTTGGGGGTTGCCTGTGGACAAGTCTGCTGGCACTCCACAAAAGGCACTCTCTCCACCGCCCCACCGCCCCCCCCACCATACAGCTTTGCTCAATTCAGCTGTCAGATTATCACTCAAAACCTTCAGTGGCTCCCTCTGATGGCTGAGTTTTAACACTCCTTACAGTGGTACCAGGACCTCGACCGAGTTCTAATGCAGCCTTTCAGCAACACTGCCTTCAGGGAACCTGCGACTTGGGAAACTCCACTGCTCCCCATCTCTCAGCTACGTTCTCCTGTCTCCCTTCCGGGAACCAGGGAGATGCCCTATGAGAACAGTCACACCCAACTGAGGGGGATCTCAGAGATCATCTCTTCTTGTGCGTTTTACAGATGAGGAAAAGACACGTGCTCAAGGTCATAGAATTTCTTACTTACAAGTTGTCTGGCTGGAGGCCCCTGGACTACAGATGAAGATGTTTTCTCGATGCTACTTTCAGTTCAGAGCCTACGAAGGCTCTCATATATACACTAGTATTTAAGCTTTGGTAGTTTTGAGGGTTTCCAAGGTCAGAGGGCCCCACTGGCAGCCTGGCAGAGAGCTCTTGGCTGCAGGTGCCGTGGCAGAATGGCCGAGAAACCAGAACCACTCAGCATGTCTGCCCGGCGCTGCCCAAGCGTCCACAAAGAAAAGCCCTGTGCCCCCTGGGAGAACATTCCTTGGGAAAACTGATCCTGAACCAGCGAGCTCTGACTGATTCTGACCCAAGGAGTTTCAGTGAGTGAAAACTGACATACAGAGGAAGCTCTCAAGTTCAGAGTGTGATGACAGAAAGCTCCAGTGGGAACATGCTGGCAGCCCCCTCAGGTGACATTTCTGAAACCACGCTGAGTTTCATGACCTCAGCATAAATCAGAAACACACACAGGTGGAAACATAACCACGCAGACCGAAAACGAGAGCACAGGAAAACAGATAAATGTCACCCGGGGCACCTTCGTGTGTGTGAAAGAGGAAGGCTGCTTCTCTGGTTTTCTCCCTGGTCCCCGCTCTCAGCACGATGACTAACTGCAAAGGCCGCAGGCTTGCAGCTCACATGAAAAACCCCAAACACCACCACTATCCTCACATCACCCAAAGGAGAGTACAGGGGGAGACGGGCAGGAAATTACCTCACAGAAATGTCTAACAAAAGCATATTCTTCATCATAAAAAGCTCTGGTAGCAGAGTGTACTTGTTTGGAATTTCAGAATAATGCTGCTAAAAACTCCCTTCTGCTGCAAAAGCCAGAGATAATAATAAGGACATTTGAAGATAAACCCACTGTCTTGGAAACACAGACACGCAACAAACAAATGAAAAACAACCCCCCTCCACCTGGAAAAAAAAACCCCAATAGGTCTAGACCCTGAATAGGTACTCCAAAGAGACTTTTTTGGATGATTCCCAGCCTGCCTGTCCTTTGTTGCATTAGATCTTAACAAGCAAGCAGTCCTCCCGAAAAACCTGGCACTGGGGTGGGTACATCTACATAGAACACGGCTGACTGTGTGGTGACCAAGTGAGGACGGTGCTGGTTTTAAATGTGCTCATGCCCTGGCCAGGTGGCGCAGTTGGTTGGAGCATCATCCTGTATATCAAAGGTTCCCGGATTTAATTCCCAGTCAGGGCACATACCTAGGTCGTGGGTTTGATCCCCAGCTGGGGTGTGCACAGGAGGCAACCAACTGATGTTTCTCTTTCTCTCTCTCTCTCTCTCTCTAAAGTCAATAATTATATATCCTCGGGTGAGGATTAAAAATAAAATGTGCACCATTATTTCATAGCAGTTCATCCATGGGCACTGAAGGAGACAGGGAGAAGGGATTTATTTTAAAAAAAGAACGAGCTTAGCACTTGCCACACTGTGTGAGAGGAAGCGATCGGATTCCTACTCAGCTGTGTGTGGAGACCTGCCGGAGAAGGTTCTGAATGACTGAGGACGGCCTAGGCCCGAGATAGAAACACACGCTGTTGCCATGGACGACAGGTTCTCACCCAGGCCTTATGGGAGCTACTGACTGGGCTTCTTAGTCCTTCTGATGTTTGGCTGGCATTTAGAATTGTTATGTCTGGATATAGTAAACAAGGAAGTCACAGAAGACAAATATTTCTACTGTAATATAGACAATTAATATGTCAAAAAAGTGCTTCAGTGGGTCTTGTCCTAGAGAGGGATCCTTTGAGTGACACCAAGTGATAAGATTTAGGTGAATTCACCTAACTCTCTTTGGTTTAAACCACCACCTTCTGTTCAGTTCTCTGATGGTAATTTTTTTGGCTCAATTTAGAGGAACACAAAGTCTTCTATGGGTTTTAAGCTGTGAATTGAGGTTGGGATTGTTACCTGTGGTTACGAGGTGGTGTCAGAACTACTTTCAAGTATCTCAAAATGCCGATCAGTTTTTGTTTTCAACTTAAACCATTTTTGTAAACTGGCCAAAGATTAGTTTTCCATTACATGATCTATTTAGTCAAAGACAACACATCTCATTATGACACTGAATCGGCGTGATTTCCTGGACAACGGCTCCTGAAGAACTGTCTCCTTGCTCTTGTCACAAGCAGTCTGCTCTTCGATGCCACTGTTCCACAGCTGAGCCATGACTTGTCTGCCTAACATAACTACCCCTGGGAGGGGACGGCCCGGAGCAGCAGGGTGCCAGAGCTTACTGCCCCCAAGTCCTGTAATGCCAGCCATCCCTGGATTAAGCTCTTCTAATTTCTGGATTGTTTAATGTCCTGCATGTTATAATCAGTGTCTTTTAATTCAGGATTTGGGCCTTCTGGCAGTTTTCCAAAGGACACGCATTTTGAAGTCAACTAATTAAATGAGCGTTCTTTTCTTCAGTTGCCCCAAGTTCTCTGTGCACTGAGAGAATATTTTTATACTCGTGGCCATGTTGATGTTTATGGTGATGCTACCCTAGGGGTTGCCAGTGAGAAGAGCTAGACAGTGGGCAGGCAGAGCTCGTGCCGAGAGAAGGGCTTTGTGGGTTGGCAGTGATAAAAGGAAGGGAGAAATTATGTGACGCTGCATTTAACCACAGAAATTTGTAAATCAATTTTCCTGCCTGAGGAAAAAAAAACGCATTTGGGGGATAGAGCACATTTCATCTCTCTATCTTTAGAGGTAAATTGAGTGCTCAAGAAAAAAAAAAAGAATATGAGCCGCTAATCTGTGAAACAAAGATTGTGACTATAATAAACCAATGACATAAATGCTGTTTTGAAAAAGTGAAAAGACATCACCCTTATTTCAGTGTATGTTCGCATGTGCTTTGCTGGAAGCTCATGAAAGTGAGCACTAGCTCAGGCAGTGGCATCTCTGATTTAATTCTGGGAAGAAGGGCATAGTTCCTGGGTCCGTGCTGCCATTACTGAGTTAAACAAGTCAAAATGCAAAAACGAAACCCCTTTGTGTATGAGGGGAGAAACACGAGAATACAGACTCCTATTTGCTGTGTCTGTGTAAAAAGGGCCAGAAGGCTGCAAGGGGTGGGAGTATTGGAGCAGAGACGGGAGTGGGGAGAAGCAATGAGAGTATATGTTTTATCATCACTTTGTTTTTTGTACCAATGTGAATATGCCACCTATTCAAAAATTGTTTTATTTTAATAATGAAATTAAGTGAAAGATAAAAATCAAAGATCAAATTACATACACAAGAGGTTGTAAATAGGAAAAATAGCAATATTCCTATCAAAATAAGTTGAAGCATATGTATGATTATAAATACATTTAGTAAATGTTAAGATTTGCTAAAAGTACATGATGGGTACCTAGTGTTTATTATTTCATAGCCTCTAAAATTTTTTTTTTGTTTATTTCTAGAGAGAGAGGAAGTAAGGGAGAAAGAGAGGGAGAGAAACATCAATGTGTGGTTGCCTCTCGTGTGCCCCTAACTGGGGACCTGGCCTGCGACCCAGGCATGTGCCTTGACTGGGAATCGTACAGACAACCCTCTGGTTCGCGGTCTGGCACTCAGTCCACTGAGCCACACCACCAGGGTATTATATTATAGCCTTTATCTTGCCTTTATAAGACTGAAATATTTCCCCCTCCAAATAATAATCTATTTAAAAAACCATTATTCCATCAAATTATTCTATCCTTAAGTCAAGGAGGAAAAGTTTTCATGAAAATGGAGGCCATGTAATTATTGCTTTCACAATCTTGTATGATTTCAATATTTATAAATAAGTAGGCATTCTGATAAAATATACATGGACATTCAAAAATAATTGCACAGTATGTTGCCTGGAAAAAGAGGAAAGCAGGTTTCTGTGCTCAAATTTACATTTCTTAAGCCCCAGAAACTTAATGTCAGAGTTCTGCTGCCTTTCCATTTTTGAAAAAGCTTTAACCAATACCCTCTGTTTTCTGGATTTTCTTCCTCTCATGCTCTGTGAATTCAATCCAAATCAAGGTCAGAATGAGTCAGGAAAGCCATTGGCTGCAGTTAACTGGAGTCTGCAGGATGACCTTGCCCATTTCAGTCCTGCAGGAAAACCGGAAGGCCAGGGCAGACCACGAGTCAATTCCAAGGGCCAGGCGTACTCTGGAGCACAGCTCAGAATCTCAGGGGTATTTGGGCTCCCATCAGGAGCACAGAGAGCAATTGTTTGTGCTGGGTTGTACACACTCAGTTTCTTGAGATTCCTTAAGATGACACATGTCTCATACAAATCCATGGCTCTCTCTGGATTCTCTCTGGCTGGTTATTCGGTAAAGGATTTTAGGCCTGGTAAACTTGGGCATGGGACCTGGCTGGCAAACTCTCTGAATTTAACTAAAGGTCAATGGAAATGCAACATAGTATAACATCAGAACAACATTTCTAGTCCTCCCATCTCACCTGCCTAGCGCCCCTACATCAGAGACCAGAAAAGACCCTCTACATACATGGTCTCCTGTCCTGACAATAACCCAGCAAGACTGTTCATAATGGTTCCACTGAACGAAGGAGAACAAGTGAGGCTGAGGGAGCTTAAGTATGAACCAAACCCCTTACAGCCTAAGAGATAACTTATGATCAAACCAGTGTTCAAATCCAGGCCTGTCTGGTTGTGACAGCCACGTGTTCTCTGCTACAAGACACAACCTTTGACATCACAACTTTGCACTTTAGTGGTTTGACACTGTGAAATTAATTGTACTAAGATGACGGCGTCACACCTACTAATATGAGCTGAAGCATATTTAAGTTCATTTATAAAGACAAACAACAGTCACCTATTGAAAAGACAAACATAACATTTTCCTGCTTAGAAAACTGGTATTAAAAATTAAATTATAACCCCAAAGAAATGTATAAATCTTACCACCTTCCTCAGGTTTCATGTTTAATAGTTCATCTATTGGTCCGTTAGAGGAGGGGAAAGAAAACAAAAGCATGAGTTAATTTTAGTTTGGAAGAAGATTGAGTCAAATTATTAAAATTGAGCCACTCTCTTTCATCTGGATTACCTGAGCACACGTTATGCGTAGAGCTTTTGTCCAAGGCAGATAAAACGCCTTTTTCCTCTTCAGCTGTAAATACAAGGTGCAGCTGGTTATCACCAGGGCACGTGGTGGGCATGCTCACACACTGTCACGGTGTGAGGAGTGCACACACCTTGGGGAAGAGGTGGCACCCACGCACTCACTCCTGCAGAAGCAGGGGTCCTCACGTCCCCTCCACTTGAGCTGCTGGCTCTCAATGAACGCTGAGTCCACAGCCCCAAATCTGCTTTGTTTAGTAAAAAACCACATGACACTGATCTAATGATTGTCCTTCCAAGGACAAATGTGTGACTGAAGTGACTATTACTTGATGGTGCTAATGAACTTCAGCCATACGGGCCTGGCTAAAATAAAGGGCAGGTGACTGAGTAAAAGGCACCAATCTGTAAAGGCTACATATTGCATGATTCCAACTGGACAACATTCTAGAAAAGGCAAAACTATGAACACAGTAGAGAGATCAGCGGTTGCCAGGAGTTTGAGGGGAGGCAGAAATGGATAAGTGAAGCCACAGGGGATTTTTTTGCACAGCAAAACCATTCTGTATGATACCGTAATGCTGGATACATTATACGTTTGTCCAAACCCATAGGCTATGTAACACTAAGAACGAACCCTAAAGTAAACTATGGAGTTTGGGGGTGAGACTTGTCAGCACTGGTTCCTCAGTTGTAACAGAGGCGCCACGCTGGTGGGGGGTGTTGGCAATGGGGAGGCTGTGCACGTATGTGTAGACATAAGGGGTGTGGGGGAAATCTGCTCAGTGTTGCTGGGAACCAAAAAGTGCTCTAAATAATAAAATGTGTGTGTGTACATTGTGTAAATATACATACATGAGCACACCCAATAGAACAGCCTTAAAACTTGGTTTGCTCATATGAACATTAGACTTTCTGCAAGTCACAGAATAAAAAATGACACTTCCTTTTAAAGGCTTCCATTCAGTGTATATATAAAATAAGGCGATCAACATTTATAGTCTCAAAATATCATGCAAATGCCACAAGCAAGTAAACACATTGCACAAAGAAGAAGAAAATGTGATAGTCCTGTACTGTCACCAATGGCATGACTATGTGATTAATATATTAGTAGAAATGCAACTTGACTACAAATATAATGAACTGGAGCTAACATTTTCCCACAGAATTAAAATTTTGTGATTCAATTACCTAGATTACCCTCAACATGATTCATGCTGTCAGTACCCAAGGGACGCTGAGGCTGGAGGGTGTGGAGCAATAGCGAGAGCTGACGTGGCCACCGGGGCAAGGCTGGCCTGCCTCCCTGCCTGCCTCCCTCGGACCTTTCCCTGGTCTTCCCTTGTTCACAATCTCTGCCCCGGCTGCTCCTTTTGCTTTGACAGGTCTTACAAGAGCACTTGACTCAGCTACTTCCCTGGTCCCGCAGACAGGTGATGTCCCCCCACCATACACGTCACCGAAGCCAGAGTTGCCTTGTTCTCTGTGTAACTGTTAGATCAGCACCTGCTGCTCCTCTGCCTCTGAGCCCCACCCTGGGAGGCTCTGACTAGGCCGGGTGAACCACAGCGTGCCTGGAGCCCAGGGCTGTGCGCACCACAGAGACGGCCCTCAATAACCTTCTGTTGAACAAATGAATGTTGACTCAGCGAAGGTGTCCATGTGTGAATGAATGATGGAAGCCAACCTAGAGAAGCAAGGAAGTGAGAGCTGTGGTTTTTTTTTCCTGTTGAATGTCACACGAGAGAGAAGCAAATGAAAAGCAGTAAAGTGGGAGAAGAATAGAGCAGGTGAAACAAGTGGTTGGAAACGCAGAAAGGAAGACTGAAGGACGATAGGGGGTGGAGAAAAGGATGGAAGAGAGGGAATTTTCAGAGTCTGCTGCGCCTCCTCCCATCTCCCAGAAGGACCAGGCAGTGCAGCGATGAGTGAAGCAGGGCAGATGCAGATGTGTGGCTGGGAGGGCCAGACTGAACGGAGGGCTGGGGCGATTGAGGTCTCCCCCTATCAGCTGTAAACCATTCCCCTGCATCTCTGAGGACTGTGAGTCCCAGCGAGAGGCTCAGCATTACATCACCTTAGTTCTACTCCAGTTTACAGTTCCCTCTAGTCCTTAATGAGAAGACAAAACAGTGAAAGAACTGGCAGTAATGGCAGGAGGCAGGGAGAGCTGACAGGTGGCTCACAGCACGTGGTGTCTTCTACCAACGCTACGATCCCTCTTCCGACCACCAGAGGGTCGGCACATGGAGGGATGCAGGGTCACTCCTTGCAGAATTGGCCCAAGCGTCACCTGAAAGGCATTGTCCCGCCCTCCCCCTCTGTTTCCCACAGTGACCTACACCCGCCCCACAGCACAGTGAAAACCATACCCACCCGATGTAACCATGTGAGCTTATTACAACGATCTCAGCCCAAATAGCTGTCAGAACTAGTCATGGGAACAGCAGAAGTGACATCATCTGTGGTACAAGAAACGGCTCTCCACCGACTCTCAGCGGTGGCCATTCCTCTGATGGGCTGCTGCCGAGGTGACTAATGACGCTATTTTCTGGGTCCCAATGCACAACCTCTCTTAATCACACTCTAGGGTCGACGTCACTGGGCTATGACAATTTAAGACTGAAAGCATATTAACAAACGGTTTTCTCAATTGGAAGAGAAGAGAGGCCTAGGAGGAGTTTCCCGGAAAAAACAGCGAGTTCGCTGTTGAGCAGCAGTATTTCAGAATCAAGTCTAAATACAGATCAAAACTTACTCTTAAAAATAGAGGATTCCTTGCGCTGGTTTTCTTCCTCTAAGGAAATTAACCTTAAAATTAAAGAAAAAAAAACAAACACCTTTAGTAATGTAGTTCGGAAATGTTGGATTTATGATACAGCCAGCTTTTCGGCACCTTATCTATTATGGCACTTACAACACACACACACACACACACACACACACACACACACGAGGTGAGTGTATAGTCATTGACAGGCTGTGCTTTTGAAGGAGAAATACATTTGCTTGCTTTCTCCTGTCCCAAGGTTGACTGGTAGCATCTTAACATCTGAATCTTGTTTCATTGTAAGGCACAAATTCTGTAAATACCTAGGTGGTTAGTTAGCTATAAGAAAGATAGATACTGAAGTTGTCATTTTTAAACACACAGTAAAACAACCAATGGGCAAGCAGGTGTTTGTCCTAATTTCTGGGGGACGTCTCAGCAGGGTAGTTATGTTTCGCGAGGCTGAGGGCAGGATCGCTCTCAGAGGCAGGGGACTGTCGCCTGCCTCGGCTCCTCGCACACACAGGTAGGACCCCGGCAGAGACACCTCCACCCTGAGACCCAGCTGCTGCCTCCGGCCTCCTTCCTCCCACAGTGGTTCACCTCTACCTGTTCTTTCTGGAAAAATGCTTGTTAAGTTTTCATTGTCTTTTAAAATAATTCATGGATTATACATTTGAGCTTTTAAAAATGACGTACTAAATAAAAGCAGAAATCTGAAATGAATTCAAACTTATCAAGGTGATCTTGGGTGGTTCCCTTCTGAGTAAGGGCCGGGGCTTTCTTTCCCCTGTGGTGGCACATATGGTGACAAGAAGATGCCAGGACTCACTCCAGGCTCTGCCTCCCACTACCCCGGGGGTGGCGGCCAGTCCCTCAGCCTCTCTGAGCCTCCCTGCCATCACTCATGTGCTGGGGAAGTGCCCACCTTGACTACATGAAGGGCCACCATGAGAGGACATCAGTAGCGTGCCTGGCACTGTGCTACGTACAGAGAAGGTGCTCAACTACCTGGTACGATTCTTATTTTTATTACTAGGAGTAGGTTAAACTGCTTCCCCAATATAGTCAACTGCACTACACTGAGATCACATTTTACAGCCTTCCTACAGTGAAAACTTGTTTCTGTTCTGCACTAAAGAAATATGCTAGCGTTTGCTTTAAAAAAGAAGGGGGTGGCTATGACTGGTAGCAAATATTTGAGTGGGACAAAAACGTGTGTGTGTGTGTGTGTGTGTATGTGTGTGTGTGTATATATATATATAAACTTATTTAGAAACACAGTAAAAATATCAGGCTGCTTTGCCATAAGACTGTCATCTAATTGTGTGTGGGGGTAGAAAAGGAGGAGCAAACGGCAAGGTAATCTATTTTGGTTTCCTAGGTCAGGCCCGTTCAAGGTTAATGCTGCTCCTGCAGGCTATGACATCTCAATAGAAAAGACAGATTCGCATTTAAACCTTCTCCCGGCTGTATGGGAAGGTTTGCACCCTCTATGTCCAATGATTCTCTCATTATGTAAAATGACTGGAGGCGCTTTCTTTGCACAGAGGCAAGAAATGAAGACGGAGCAGTCACTTCCTGTACTCAGAGCTGCTCTTGCCTCTCAGAGGAGAAAACAGCTGGTCTGAAGGGTAGAATACAAAATGTCAAAGCCCAGTGCTTTGGATGATCGCACCTAAGTAGGAGGTGAGTTACGAGGCAATGTCATAGGTTATTTCCTTCTCTGAAACAAAAGCCAGGGGATTTCCTATCTAGGGCAGGATCTTGTAAGTGATGGTGACAAAAGGGCCAGACAGGGTCCAGAAGGCTGGGGCCAGGCAGCAGTGGGGACACTACCCTTTCCTGCCCCACTGGAAGCCTCACAAGTGTGTCCCTCCAAAGTACTCCAGCAGTGGGTCTCTTATTGGGGTGAGTGACTCCTGGTCTAGTAGACAAACGTGCTGGGCGGTTTGGTCCCCATTTGAACATATCCACTCCCAGAAGCAAGGGAGTAAACGATGAGTCTGAGGCTCCAGAGGACCTGGTCAGCGTGGCCTGTGCTGCCCTCACCCGCGGGAACAAAGATGTCAGGATGAGTGGCCGGCGACTTACTGACTTGGCTCTTCCGCTGTGGCTTCGGCACTTGCCTGCTGCTTGAGCTTCTTCCTTTCTTCCTTCTCGACCAGTTTCTTCATGGGGTCTTGTAAGCTCTTGATCATAAGCACAGATAACAGAAGAAAAGAGAACAAAAGAAAAAAAAAACAGATCATCCATAAAAAACTCAACTGCCCCTGGTTCCAGCAACCAAACCTTGAATTTGAGATTCTGGGAGGCTGCCGTGCGTGTGGACAGCAGTGAAAGTATATACGTCCTCTGACCCACCCAAGAAGCACGAGCCTATAAAGGAAAGTGATTTTGCCACTAGATTTGTGTTTTCCCTTTTGTGATAAGTTATTCAGAAGAAGGCCTTTTGGCTATTGCTAACTTTATTTTCCATCTTTAACATGGAGTTAAGATAAACATTCTGTTCTGCTTTCAGCCCACACACTGTCAGAGTAGAAGTTTTGCTCCCCCGAGATGAGACGATTTCACTTTATTTTTAATTTTGTTTGCTATTTCACATCTAAAAACAGCTTTAAAAAACAAGAGAAAACAAAACCTTAAAAAAAACCAGAAATAGTGGCTGAACATATTCTAACAAGTTAACTCCCACAAGTGGACACAGCAGGTGCCTCTAAACCTTTGTAGATTAAAGGCAGGGGAGAGTCTTCACATGACACATAATTCCTTGGAGTGACTATGCTCAAGGTACATTAAATAGTTAAGGAAAGATTTTTTTTACAAGGGCAACTGCATAAAAACTGTACCATGGAGACAAAGCCTTAGAAAGCGGAACATTTCTCTAATACCTGAATGAGGAGTTACACAGAGAGCTCTCTCTTTCTGGCCCTAAATAAAACACAAACCTACAAACACGAAAGAAACATCTCAAGATGCTGATCCTGCTTCTATTTCCTGAGCCATTAAAGCCCTTCCCTGGGGCCTTCACAGCTCTTGTTCTGCCCTCTGTCTCCCCAGCTCACTTTGCTAGTGTGACAACATGCACAGAAACACGCAGCCGAGCCTCCTCTGCCAGCCAGACTGACTGGTGACGCCTGGCTGGAGGGCTGGTTGAAGGTGGACTGAGGCAGAGCCGGGCTGTGACCGATGCTGGCGTCTGCCATGAATGCCGGGCCGACACTGAGCGCCCTCCTCACACCAGCTCTGGCTCACTCCCTGCGCAGGACAACTTTTCTAAAACACCTAGGCCGCTGTGTTACCCTTCTTCTCAAGAACCTAGAGTAGTTTCTTATTTCTTTCCATGCCTAGTCTAAACCTCTGCAGAGTTTCAAAGATCTTCTAACACGCGATCCTATCTTCCTCCCCCAAGTCCCTCCCCCAACCGTCCAAATGGGAGCTTTCCATTCATTTAGGCTTGTCTCCCATGGACTAGTCGGGCCCTTCCTATCTTTGTTCATTCTGCTTCTTAACCCCCCCCAAAAAATTCTCTCTTCTTACTTTTCTGTCCACCCTCAAAATATGTCTTTGCAAAGCCCAGATGAATTACCACTGTTTTCCATAAAGCTCTCTGCAGTAGCATGCCAGGAGAAGGTCCTTCTATCTCCAAACTGCATTCACAGTTTCAGTAATGTTTAATTATTACTCTGTATTATTTTTGTCTCTTAAAAATATTTTTAAATTAGAAAAATAACAGAACTACATGTAGAATGCTGGGAAAATTTAAATGGGAAAAACCACTCATAGTTTCATTCCTCTCAAATAATGAGTTGTTATTTTCATGTATTTCCTTTCTTTTTTCATGCTCGTACTACTTATATACTTGGAATCTGTGTGTGTGTGTACAGATATATAGATATAATATCTATATATATTTTCTAGACAGTAGATGCCCTCTTAACTGATGTAATCTGTGTTGGTATTTCAGAATCAGAAACACTCTCTACACCCTGGTCAGTGTGGCTCAGTTGGTTGGAGCACTGTGCTGTACCTGAAAGGTTGTGGTTGCCTTCCCAGTCAGGTCATGTGCCTAGGTTGTGAGTTTGATCTCCAGTCTGGGCGTGGGCATGGATGACCCCTGGTCCAGATACATATGGGAGGCAATCAGTCAATGCTTCTCTCTAGCATCAAGTGTTTCTTTGCTTTCCTCTCTCTCTAAAAACCATGACACTCCCACCCCCCAACTCTTTGTTATAGTGGAGAATATAGAAAAGATTTTATGTCCCTTAATCACTCAATATTGAATTAAAATATATAGAAATGTACATTTATTCATCATCATTCTAATGTAGAGCCAAGGCTTTCTCACTGAATATGTGGCCCTGATTAAAGAGCTGAAGCATTTTCTTGCACAAACCACATCAAGGAGGCACTGCCATCGTTTGTAATGACTTCCTATTTCTGGGCATTTAGGTGAGTACACTCAGGGCACAAGCAGTTTTTGAGCACCTAGGTACTGTTTTGGATGCTAGGGGTACACCGGTGAATGAGACAAAATTATCAGCTAGTGGTGGGCCTAGGCAGAGAATCAAAATAGGGGGATAGCAAGGGATTGGACTACTTCAGTTACCAGCAATGTCCTCTCTTGGAACTGACATTTCAAATGAGAGCTAAATGACACATAGAAGCCAGCCAAGTGCAGCTCAGGGAAAAGAGGGGGCCCTGAGTGCAGAGGCCTAAAGGTGGGGACAGCGTGACTTGTCCGAGGAACAAAAAGGACACCACTGGGCTGCGGTATAGTGTGCAACTGGACAAGACTTATGGGGCTGGGATAAAGAGGTCAGCAGGGGTCACGCAGGGAGAACATTCCTTTACCGGCATTCATTAATATTTAACATCGTGCCTCATTAGTTCCTTCGTATTCTGGGGCTTGTTCTGTTTCTCTAATGCATGCGAGCCAAATGGAATCCACTACCCTTGGCTGGAGGGGAAGTGCCATAAAGAACAGCACTGGAACAAATGAGGCAATTGGAATATGGACTGTAGTCTAGATGTTTTGTTTTGCTTTAATTATATAGCCCACAGCATCTGGTAAGATCAGGGCGTGTTTTTCAGCTTGAGTTCCAAGGGCTTCAGGACTCACTCACTCTTGGATTCTCCGACACTTGCCCAGGCCTGGTTTGCTCAGCTCTCGCTGCATTTCCTGGTTATCAGTCGGGACCAGGAGGGGCCAGGACCTGTCTGCTCTCGGCAGCCAGGACCTGTCTTGCTGCCAGGGTGCTCGCCTAAGCCCCTGAGATGCCCTGGACAGCTCCACCGTTCTCATCCCCTCCGTCTGCAGCCTGCCCGCCCCTCAGAACCACACTTGAACAGCTCTCAGACAATCCCTTTGTAATGTAAACCACTCCTTCCTCCTTTTCAACCTTTCCGCTGTCGGGCATTAGCAGGGACTCAATTGTCTTCGCCCTGCTACCATAGTCACAGCAAAGTCACTATTGTGCTTCGCCAGCAGAAGGGCTGCAGTTCCAACTGCTACTTTAACTTATTATTAATAATTCCTGTGACAAAAGAGCCTCTTGGCCTATTATGACCGCTGTCTCTTTTACAATCTGGCTGTTGCCACTTAAAAGGGATGCGATGTATGTACTTGTTGATTGATAAATTAATGTACAGAAGGTCAAAGAGCAAAAAGTAGAGTTCTTTAGCTAGAAAATACAAAGGGTCAGGAGAGTAATATGAAAAGGCTATGAAGTCACAAGTAAAAAATTATACTGGGCACATGGGCTTGTTTATTAAACACTAGAATTTTGAACCAAGGGGAATGGTGTGTGCATGCACGCACATGTATCAGCTTTACTGAGACAGCAAGTACCAGAGAACCCACCCATTTGAAGAGTACAATTCAGGGATATTTAGAAGAGTCGCAGAGTTGGTCAACCATCACCACAATCGACTTTAGAGGGGCATCTCTTCATGAAGTAAGGTCAAACTAAGCTACACACTCCTCTGTGCGGCAGGACCCGTCCCCCACCCCCAGCACATGTGGAACTCGTTTCTTACAAAGATGGAACTCGTTTCTTACTCTGAGGAGATAAAGAGGCTTGGAGGAACTCTGACACATCAGAGAGGACAAATCATGTGCACAGGGCACCCACATGGTGGACCACTGCTCTCCCCAAGGCTTGATTAAAAGGCCCAACTAGGGGCCGGGGTGGAGGTGATTCTTTAGATTAAAGTCCAAAACTCAGCTGAAAACACTTAACCCTGCAGCGTCCATGAAAGTCAGAGGTGACAGCTTTCTGTGTGACATGAACACCTGCTCAGGCAAAACGAATCGAAGAGGCCGGGCCGACCGTCCAGATGAGGCAGTCCTCAGATGGAACTGTTTCGTATCACCGGCTGATGGAAGCCACATTCAAATCCATGTGCAGAAATGACACGTGAGCACATTCCGTTTCTAACCCCCCACCCCCACTGGGTCCTTCGTTAAAATTGCTCATGAAGATCACTATTAGCAGCCGCAGAGCATCACACAAAACTGAAAACTTCTCTGCAGAGGAAAGAATGTTTTTAGACTAAGCAACCTGTCTCTGCTCAGCCTGCACTGACATGCTAATAGTTTCCATCAAGACTTAAATGGTTTCAGGAAGCACGCACATGATGTATACGATCGGCGTGACAGAGGAAATGCACAGACTGAGCTTGCTAAGTGTCTTAGAAAGGAAACAGCTTAATATAATAACGGGGCGTACTACTTCCTATATTAGGAAAATAAGAAGTGAGAGCAACAGTCATCTGAACGAAAGCAAAACAACCCAGCAAACAAACTTCACAGACAGAAGGCCAGCAGCCGGCCCTAATATCTGACCTAAATTGAATGTTTGACTCTGACACTTGGATAGCATTTTCTCTAATTTTTAATACGACATTTACTTCTCTTATGCTCCTTCCCATTATTTACACTGCATGCCTATGAAGGTGCCAAATATGGTCCATAAAAGGAAATAAAAGTGCTCAAAATAGTGAGGCATGGTAAAGAGATGCTAGACTCAGCTGGGTGTGTGCGTTTGTGTTTATATAATTGGTAGCACATGAAGGATAAAAAGCAGAGGACATGACGATGTCTATGAGCCACGCAATTCATGGACAAGAAGCATGTACCCTCCCCGCCCATGTCATTATGAAGTTATAAGTTCATGAAGACGCTAAATAA